CCCCTAGTGGGGCCCCCAAACGTAAACAAAGAGGCGTTTCTCTGCGTATCCCGTAGAGCTACCTGCCCCCAAAGTACCTGGCAAACTAGGCTCCACTAGTGTAATAGCCGGTGTCTGGAGTGCCGACCTGAAAGACTGAAAATGTATTCACCATTTCCTCTCTCATAGAGGTGGGATGGAAGGAGGAGTCTATTTATTTAATGTGGTTGGTGTGTTTCCTGTTGCAGGTAGGCAGAGCCTATATCTTGATGGCTGTCCTGGAAGATGACTGGGGAAACTATGAATGAATACGAAGATTCATGTTTAAGAGGCAGTGGCTCTGATACATCAGCTTGGACTTACTTTGCAAACAAATATTACTCTGCACATAACAAAAGATGAGGCAAACATTACAAAGTATTTTTCACTTTTAATCGTGTTTATTTTACAGGCCATTATGGTCTATTTTGTAATATCTTTTCTGTAAATAATCTATTTAAGTTGAATCTCTGAATGGTCTAACCAGAAAATAAAGAACGTATGTCTCTTTGAAGAGGCTACTGTAGTGTAAACTCTGTTATTCCTGTATGAGCATGGCAGTGAGTGATAAAGACATTTCTTTTAAAAGATCAGAAATCCAAAAAAATTCTATAGGTTCCTTCAAATGAGCATAGAGCATCGTCTTGCAGCTCTAGGGCAGGCCCCATGAGGTCTGACTGTTATGAGCCTAATAGTTGCCTGATAAATTTATTCCCTGTACCTGCTCCAAAGCAAGCATACAATTATCACTTAACAGTTCCCTATGCTTAAAGATACTGTCAGGTCTCCGGTTCCATGCCTGTTGGATGTCTCCCCAGTACATGCCATGGTTTCTCCTCCAAACCCTATGTCACTACAGGACTCAGAAGTGACATAGGGTTGGAGGATGGAGCCACAGCACATAGCAGAGAGGTGAGTATACCATTTAATCTATAGCAAAGTACTAGGATTTTGATTTGCTTATAGACATGATAGGGTCTCCTTTTTTTACTGGAACTTTACCTAAATTAAAAAATTGCTAGCAGGAAGGCTTTTTATTGCAGAAGAAATATATTATGAGGGGAATGTATCAAAACTGGAGCAGATTGAATCTGGAGCAGTAGCCCGGGGCAACCAATGAGCTTCTCTCTTCAGTTTGTTCAGTTAAGATTTGAAAATGAAAGATAGAAGCTGATTGGTTGCCATGCACAACTGCTCCAGATTTGGTCTGCTCCAGTTCTGATAAATTCCCCTCTATGTCTCTTCTGCAAGAAAAGCATCTTACCTGTCAGGAAACTTCTTTAACCCCTTCACGACCCATGACGGGATAATCCCGTCATGAAGTCTGAAGGGATTAAACAGACTCCCGGTGGCTGTTAGCTGCTGGAAGTCTGTTTAGTTTTGTAGAGCCGGCAGCCGGCTATACCGATCTCCTCCCCGGTATATTGGACCTGGAGCGACGCGTATTGCATCACTTCCGGTCCCATAGCTGTCATTGCTCAGCTCCTGAAGCCTAGCAATAAGCTATTGAAGTGCGATCTGCACTTCAATAGCTTATTTAGAGTGTAAAGGTGATGCTAGGGGTCTTTTGGACCCCCAGTATCACCTTAAAAAGTACCTGTCACTGCTAATCTGCTATCACATAGGGGGCTTGTAAGCACCCCTACGTAATAGCAATTAAAGTAAAAAAAAAAAAATGTTTTAAAGTCCCCGCCCCAGCGTCACGTAAACACACGTTTGGGTGTGCCTATGTACGAAAACGACGATTGCGCTACACGTTGGATACCAGAGAGCAATCATTCTAGGGACAATATTTACACGTATCTCTAAACTGATGACTTGTGGGGGCTTTTAAAGCTTTGTCTGTGGACTTTTTGGGGGACTAAATTCTGTCGCAGTTTCATGGGCGCACACAATTTTTAGCCTGGGCATGTTGGGTATCTATTTACTCGTTGTAACTTCATCTTTTATCATTTACAAAAAAAATGGTTTAATATATTGTTTTGGGGCACTAAATGTGTGGGTTTGATAAATTGCGCTAATGTCGGGCAACATAAAAATTTGCAACTGCCGACATTTTATTCTATAGGGTCTGGGCTTTCAGAAAATATATAATGTATGGGGGTTTGAAGTAATTTACAGGCCTAAAAATGTGGATTATAACATGGGTGCAAAAATGAAAAAGAAAAAAAAGCCATGGTCCTTGAGGGGTTAAATGCTCAACTCAGTGTACAGCCTTGGTGCTGGCTTACATCATCCTGAGCCAGCCAATCAAGATGGCCGAAGACCCGGAATCCAGAAGTAAGACAGAACAAAGATGTCAGTGGTTGCGAGGGAGCTCACACTGCTGGAACAGAGGCAAGTACTAGGAATGAGTACTGGGATGTAAACAGTTATGGGGCTGTTAATTTAATGCGGTTATGCAGCTGAAACAATTGTCACAGCGTTAAGCTGATCATACACCAGTCAAATTTTGTACAAATTCTATTTTTCAAAATGTTACATTTTCTAATAGTTAATGGGGTCAAATCGACAATCAATTTCGACTGCAGTGATGAAAAAAAATTGAAGGAACAGGATGGAAAATTTCCTCAATGAAGAAAATTCTAACAGTCAATGTGGCTTCCATTATAGAAACTCCATTCATTTCCAAAATAAAAAGTGATCTTCGAGTGACATTTTTCGTTTGAATGTGTTTGAAAATCTAGCGGTGTATGGCCAGCTTTAGAAGTATAACATTGGGCAATAGAGTACAGCCCTATTCACTCCCTCTCTTTGTCTCTCAGTCTGTGTTCTACTGTTCAAGAGATTACAGAAAGCTAACGCAGATTCCATTGCTTCTACCCACTATATGTAAAAAAAAAAAAAAAAAACACCTGGTAATTTAATTTTTTATGAATTCAAAACTGGACTAGAGTTTTGTTTTTTTTTGGAGTGCAGTTTTAACCCTGTCCTGATAATTGCCTCCATTAAAATAAATGTGGAACAAATTTGCAGCAAGCGGTTACATTTTCGTGTTCACAAGCAATCAACATATAGTTAAGCACTTCCGATATTCAATGGACTTGACTTGATTTAGCTGTCCTTATGATCTAGGTTGAACAATATTGTAGCCTGCAGTAATATTGAACTCTTGAAAATCTTCAGAGCAGGCAAAAGTATCAGCTGGCCTTATCTAATTGAAAGGCCTGCAAAGTAAAGCGCTTGTTCCCAGACAATAGCACAGCAGCAGGAAGATCACACACAAGTAAAATATAGGTACTGGTGCAGATTTAAAAATCAAAATCTCACAGCAGTGTGAACAGGCTAGAAAATGGGAACATACCTCCCTATTCTTTACACAAGCCATTATTTTATTCAGGTGCCCAGACAAGTGATTACATAGCAATTTGTGGCCACTCATACCTACTAGATGTGTTAGACAAATACCTGTAATATACAAGTTCGAAAAACACAGGCATAAGAACATCCACAATAAACTAAAGGGTACATGGGGGTTGATTAAAATACCTCCCTTAGCCCTCCTCATAAAATCAAAATACTACATAAAGCCAGACTTCAGATAGCACCACTTCACTGTCCTGGCCAGGGAACCTTCTGCTATCTATGTAGGCGCCAACACAGCCAATGTATCGGTGGCTCCCATAGAGTATAATGGGCTGCCAATAAAGCTGTGGAAGCTGCAAGGAAAAGGTTGCCAGCCTTATTGGATATCATCAATACACTGCCCAGCAAAGAGCCTGATGATTGCATTTGAGGCATGTTTTTTTTCATTTGGTACCAATTGTTTAAATCATGAGTATTGAATATACTTACTTATTGAATATACAACTCAGGAACACACATCCTGCCCCTGGGTGACAACTCACTGTACTCTATGGTGAAGCAATGTTATCACTCTAGAATAGAATATCCACTTCTCCATTACATTGAGGGGAGGTGTTCTGGGCAGACCAGAGTATCCTATTTTTTTGTATTCAAACCAGTTATTGAATATAGAATCCTGTAAAAACTTCCCTTCCCTGTGCGACAATGCTCACACACTGTACAGTATCTGCAGAGATGCAGTGTTGTCACTCTGGGCCAAGACTACAATAACTCCCTCCTTTTCTCCATAACATTGAGGGGAGGGGGTTCTGTAGCCTACACAGTTAGATAGCACCAAAAACTGACAAGAGTGCAGCAGAGCCAAGGAGCACAGGAAGTTAAAGTGTTAACAAGATTTCTAGAAGGATCCACAGGTCTTTTTTTCCCCCCACTTTTGGAGTTCACCTATACAAATTGCTGCTCACCCATGGTTCCCACCCAACATGACACCTAGAGCAATTTTTGTCCAGAAGAATGAGAGAACATTGCCAGATGCAGATATTAAAAGCAGGTAGAGACATGTCCCGGAAGACTTGTGGCTGTAAATGTAGATTAGGGTGGTACTACCAAGTACTGATCAAGCAAGGATACTTATGACATAATGTGTCCTTTTTGTTTTTAGGTAACAATTGTAAAAAAAAAAAATGCACCTTAAAAATCTTCACTATGTTGTGTAAATCAAATGGTAAAAATCACCAATAAAATCAATTTTAATGTCATTCTAAGTGAAGGACTGAGGACCTACGTGGAATGCAGGGTGTCATGGATCTGCCTCCTAAGGGGGCATTCGCCGCAGCATCCTGCACTCACCGTGTAATGATGCAGAGAGCACTACTAATGTCATCACATCAGTGCCACTCTTGGAATCATTGAGGACCACCGACTGCTGGAGATGATAAAGAGAACCAAGTATCCAGAAAAATATAAAGCATAAACTACTGCTGGGGGCCTGAAGCTGGGCTTTAAAGAGACACTGTCACTTTGCAAGTTTCTGCCTGAAGCTGTGTCATGGTAATGTAAAGAGCAATAGCAAGCAACATGTTACATAGGAAAGTTAAACCAATCATTGCTTCTATGCAATGCAGGAGAAATAATATATATGTTACATTTTAGGATTCATCAGTCCAAAGCCTTTTAACATCTCAGAGTTAAAAACTTTCTGGAAGAGTCCATCTGTGAACAACAAGAGTGTCACCATGTTCACATTCGTGAATATATTCTTTGCAAAATAACTTTCATTGAAAGTGTATCTGTAGTTATTTTCTTGTTTCAAGATTTTCAGGAGGCCTCTCAATATCATTAGCCCCACTCCAAGTCCTCTGAGTCACCCCAATCTGCAGGTGTGGGGGGATGGAGTGAAGGTGGCAGTTCACAAAGTGGTGGCCAGCCTGGTGGCAGATGGTAGATGGGACGCTCTGATGCAGAAGAACTGTGAAGAGAAAAGAGCAGACATGTAAATGTCATTGTGTTTCCGAATTTCCAAATTCTTGTGCGTCCGAATGCGAACTAATCCGAATGCTCGTTTAATGAAAATTCGGATCGATCAAAATTTTATTCAAAACTAAACTCGCACATGTGACGGTTCTCTGGTCAATCAGATGGTATTTTTTGGCTGTTGGGGCTTACATTACAGGCACGGTCATGTGACTCTGAATAACGAACTGAAATCTGAAAGGAAAAAAAACCCGGATGGATGCAAAATGAAATGAAAACATTTCTTGGGGGCTTACATGTCTAGAAAAAAAAGCATGTAGCATTACATGACAGACAGACAGAGCCTTGTCCTTGTGTAATACAGTTTATTAATCAATGAACATACAAGCTGATAAAATACTACTCACATGGTAATCACTGAATAGTACAAGGCAGACCCTCACACAAAGCTGCCTTGCTAGCTGGGTGGGGTCTGCCTTGTACCATTCATTCAGTGATTACCATGTGAGTAGTATTTTATGTCAGCTTGTATGTTCATTGATTAATAAACTGTATTACACGAGGACAAGGCGCTGTCTGTTTTGCATGTTTTGTGAGGAATACTTCCCAGTGGCCTTTTGATGACGGCAGCCTGCAAACGATTGTTGGTGGAGAATATCATTGGTGGTCTGCTGAGCGCTGTGGTGTGCATTTTTCTGGAGCATTACATTTGATCTCACAAGCACCTAAGTGAGACGCATCTGACACCCTTCATAGTTTATGATGTCTGATTTTTATGGGTCAGGGCACATTACATTCTGTCTTACCAAACAAGAACACCTGCCAATCTGTCCACAAGTGTACTGTGATCTATGCAAAATCAGTGTTACATACAGCAAAAAAATATTTTTCTACACATCAGCTGATATCTACAATTGAAGACACACTTGGGTGTGTATTTATACACAATTTGCAGAGCAATTTGCCCTGTGAAATTCCATATACATTCACGAATACATGTATGAATGGAGACAAAAATGAAGGTTATGATATTTTCTTTCTAGGTTGAATGTAATATGAGGTAGATATCAAATTATGGCCACTAGATGGAGCAGGGGAGCACAGGAAGAATGTATATATTTCCTCCGCTCCATCTATTGGCCATAATGTGGTATCTACCTCATATTACATTCAAACTAGAAAGAAAACATGCTAATATTCATTTGTGCAGAACACAGTGTATGGCCAGATTAAAATGCACCAGATTTAAGCCATACTATCTTCCATCATTCAGTTATGCCAAGATACATTATCTAAACTAAGCCCATCTGCCGTAAAACTGATATTCAGCTGAAATCTAACATGGAATTTTGGGTAACGCTAGTGTGTAAGTAATATATCTACAGCCAACGTTGGTAAATAAATGCTTTTTCTCCATTTAAAAGCCAACTGATTGAAATACGCAGTGTTTATCTAAATTTACCCATTCCCTACAGAGCTCTTCAGCACAGCCACAGTATTCAATAAATCTACATGACACCTCCCTTCTCGGCCCGGTGATTCTTAGGCAGCCAGAGCTCTTTATTTATTGTGACTGATGAGAGCAGGACTTTATCAGGAATCTGAGTTAACTGACTCTTGTGTTAATTGAAACGATGCAGCACGAACCTCTTCACCAAGGGGCAGTGTTTAACAACTGCTTGTTTAATCGGAATTTAAAGCAGACTTTTCATTCCTTTTGTAAATAAAGCTCAAACCATCAGTCTTCAGTGCAAGAATAGAAGATGATCTAATGAAAATGGGTTCTAATAAAAGGAATAATCCTCTTGTTGGCTGTATTTCAGGAAAGGGGCTGGTCTGTCTGGCAAAGGAGTCAATGAAAGAACTTAGCACGGCTGATATACCCAATGTAAAACAACTGATTTAAAAGTGACATTAAAAGGCAAAAAAAATGCCCCCCTTAATGCTAATGCAAGGACTTACCTTAAATGATGTCTGCTTATCCGATCATCTTCTTCTTTCCAGAAGTTTTCAGGAGTCCCTCCAGCGTTGGTGCTCGTCTCTGATCCAGCACTGAATCCTCTCTCTTCCTGGCACTTCCTGTCCCACGGGGGTCTGTGTGGGTGAACGCTGCCTCCATTGACTTAGCTTGCGTCTTTCCTCGTCTCCCGACCGAAGATCTGAACTGCGCATGCGCTTGCCCCGCGATCCTTTGCGGCTGCCCGAGAATCTTCAGACGGGAGCGCATGGCGGAGACACAGGTAAGTTAAGGGGGTTTAACACCGCGGATGTCAACTGGTTAATAATGTTTTAAGCTTCTGAAAAAATAGCCACAATGACAAAACCAACAGAAATAATGTGGGTTTAATGCCAGGCAAATTAAAAGGTCACTACTGAAACTGGTCATTTTTTTTTTACATTTTCTATTTATTTTTTAATAATTTTTTATTTTTTTACTGTTGGGGGGGGCTGCGGCGAAATATCTGGGGTCTAAATAGACCCCTGACATTTCCCTTTTGAAATAGAAAACAAAAAAAATGCTTCTTGTAGTTTAAAGTGCTTTGACTTGGGTTAGGGTTTTAAAAGGTTAAAATCTCTTCTTGCTTCTATTTCTTTCAAATGGTAGGAGGGGCTGTGAGGGGTCTGAGGTGGCATGTCCATTGTATGTTAATGAAGCTTATCAGATAAACACAAATCCTCAAATTTCAGTCCCAAAGTCTTTCCATTAGGACAGACCACTGTGAAAGGGCTAAAAAAAAAACAAGAATCAGCCATCTTGCCTGATTTAACAAAACATCTAAAAAGGTAAGACATTTTATTTTTCAGTATGCTGTGTGAATAAGAACACACAACGAACATATAGAGGGGTTTTCTCAAATTTGACTGCAAAAGTGGAAATGCACTTTAACCACTTGAAGACCAGCTGTTTAGACCCCCTTCCTGGCCAGGCCATTTTTCAGTATTCAGCGCTGCGGTACTTTGACTGACGTTTATTCCGTCATGCAACGCTGTATTGAGATGAAATCTATACCATTTTTTGGGGACAGATAGAGCTTTCTTTTGGTGGTATTTTTTCACCACTTGGGTTTTATTTTTTACTATAATTAGGAAAAAATTACACTACGTTAGGAAACAATTATTATTACCCAGTTTTTTAGTAAAACATAAAATTCAGGGTCACGTCAGGTAAATAGACACCAAACATGTCAAACATGTCAAGCTTTAAAATTGCGTGCACCCGGGAAAAAATCGCAGAAAACTATTTTTAAAACTTATTTTTTTACTATATTAAGGAAAAATTACCGAAATTTTAAAAAAAAAACAGTTTCCCCTATATTAAATGATAAAACATTTATTATTACCCAATTTTTTGGTAAAATATAAAAGATGGGGTCACGTCGGGTAAAAAGACACTAAACATGTCAAGCCTTAAAATTGCGTGCGCGCGCGAAACCTCAAAAAACGATAATACCGAAAATTGGCCCTAGGCGACGCTTAAAAGCTTTTACCGCTCATCAGTTTAGTGTTATCAGTGATTGATGGCCCTAGAATGATTGCTCTTACTGCGACGTTCGTGACGATATGTAAAACGACGGGTTTCTCTATAGCCGGCGGATCGCTTGTATGTTAACAGGCATCACTGCCTGCCTGTTTTTCAATTTTAGGACTCTCCCACGCGCGAGGGGGCATGGCTGAGCGGAAATCTAAAGATGCCTGCTCAGATCTAGAGAGCTCACGGCCGGCCGTTTTTTTACAACGGCCGGCAGGGAGGTAGTTAAAGATAATTGAAGGCTTTTTATTGTTAGCACACCTTGCTTTTCTTATTCTCCCCATTCTTCTCATGGAAGCCATTTTCACTAAGGGCAGATTTATCTATCTACGTTTACTTCCTGGAACTCTGGCCCGTGTGACCATGCACATCATCTCCGGGGAAAAATGCCTGATATTTCCCAGCAATGTATTACTGATATAACCTTCCCAGGATGCATCTCTTGGGCATGGGCTACATCAATAAGAGAACCAGGAAGTGGAAAAACAGTAGTAGGAACAGTAAAAGAAAAAATATATATATTTAACTTATGAATGTAGGATGATTTCATATCAGCATGCAGAGCTGCATGCTGAGGTGATTTTTAGTGTAAGAGGGTAAAGGTCTGCGTTAACAATAAACGTACTTTAAATAGTATAATTAATTAAAGCTGAGATGTTTAAAAATTACTCACTGCACTTAACTTTTAACAGTAGCAACCAACTAAATTAATTCTCGCTGTGTTAACTTTAGTAAGCAGCAATGGGTTCGTGAAATTTGCACATAATCATTGCCAAATCTTTACAGAGTAATCTAGATACTGCTTGTGCACAGATGCAGAGTCCTTTCTCGGTACTTCATGAGCACCCTCTGCTGGACTCACCTCTCACTGCGAGAGCTTTCCCTCTTCGCTCTCTTTTCAAGCCAAGCATCCACCCTACAAGGAGGGATCTGTCTGTTCTGCTCCTCTTTCAGCTTTCTCTCTGCTATAAAGTAAAAAAAATGAAAAGAAAATATTAGTTTAACTTAGGGCTGGTAATGATTAAAATTTTCGTGTTCAATTAATCAAAACATTTTTTAATCGATTATTTTCGATGAATTATAAAACGCACATACAGATCCAACTACATTGGCCTATACACATACAGCACAGCAATGAAGTAATAAAATGAACTAGGATCACACTAATCCAGCACGTTATTAATCTCACGTGCCCCACTCAATATGGCCGCCGCTTGAGTGGGGCAACTCAGAATAATAACGTGCTGGATTACAAATTTACATAGTATAGTAAAACGTATTAGCTTAATATTTTAAGTAGCAGCACCTGTTCAATCCATTTCATGCAAGGACCTGATTGCAACATATCAGTAAAATTTCAATGGGCACATTTCTGGGAGCGAGATGAGAGGGGGGTTAATGGAGAGCCACATAGTGGCTAAGATATCTTATCTTAACCATAGTGGTTAAGATAAGACAGAAGCTTGGGGCTTCTTGGGCAAACTCACCGGCCCAAGTGGCTCCGTCGGCTAACGAAGGGATGGGGGGAGGAGTCCGGTGACGTCACGGACATAGACGTCACTGGACTCCTCCCCCTTCCCTTCGTTAGCCGACGGAGCCACTTGG